ATGCATCACGATACTTCAGTCAATCCAATCATTCATTCTCATCATTTTGGCCCACAACACACGGAAACCGGATGCAGGCGATTATCGTATCCGATTGGACAAGCTTACAAAGAGGTAAAGGTAAAAAACAGATCATCAAAAAGAAAGAAAAATCTGAGATAGTCGTGAGCAAAAGATAGCTGACGGCGCCTGACGCCGATTGTCAAAATTACATGAATGAGGGGAGAAAAGACACCATCCCGACACGTCCGCTCTCTCTCTCTCACTCCACATCACCTCCGATGCGGGCAGTCCGTCGCCTCGCACCCATACAGAGTTGTCACCCAGCTTAGTCTGGGTATGCAAGCCAGGTTCGCCCGTGCGCCACAGTTCGTCGCGGCCCCACGTCAACCCCGCATACTCGGCACCAGCTCGTCGGATCGCTCAACTCTCTCGTCTACTCACCTTTCAAGCTTCTTTGTCTAGCCAATCCTCACTGACCGCGCTAATTTCCAAAATCATAGAGAGAAAACTAATCGCGCTTGCAAAATTTATAGCATGCATGCTTGCGCGAAAAACCCAGGATTATGCCTAAGTGAGAGGAAGGGGAAGAGAAGGAAGTGCCTACGTCTGCATGGCCAAGCCGCGGCGTGGGGGACGCAGCCACACTCCACGCATCGATTCGATCATGCATTCGCTTAGGCCAATTAGAATGGAGGACGAGGTACGCGACAGAGAGGGAGAAGGTGGGGAAACACGAGAGAATCAAGAAGGAGAACAGTTACAATCCCGCCCGCCAGAAATTACAGTTACACGCAAGATTAAGGGCGCCATACAATAAGATCCCAGTCCCCACCGTCGCGAGACGTGCGCAAGCAAGAAGCGCTGTGCAACAGAAATTTCTAAGGTACCTAAATTCCTATCTAAATCCTAATTTACAAAAAGAAATTCCGAAGGGAAAACAATTCCGAGAGACCCTGGGGGCTTGAAATCAGTGCGAAATTTTGAAAACGACGTTCCCGCACGACGATCGCGCCAAGAATTCCCAGTTCCCACAACAGAACAAGAAAGAAGCTATGGCAATGGTTATACTTTTGCGGCCACTCAACTTGTCTGCGCGGGGCTTTCCCGGCCCTGGTCTGAAAGTCCAAAAAGAAAGAAGTGAGGGCATCCATGCAACTTGCCCGACCGACCCATCCTCATGTTCCTCGTCTGACCACCCCGTCCGAACCCGTGAAGCAGCTTCGCGCAGAAAGTCACGCGGTTACGGAAAATAGTTCGTCACATGGGCACTTTGGTTGCAGCGCTGTACCTTAGCCCTGTAAGGGGTAAGAGTGAAAGGCCCTGTGACGCGCAACCTCACGCCCTGTGCTGTCTTTCGTTCGGAGTGCTAGAGGTGCGGAAAAAGGGCTTAGAAAAACAGCAAGATGGGGTGTGCCAAGGATTTTTGGAAATTGAGTGTGGGGACATAGACGCAACTGAAATCCCCCGTGCTGGTCCGATGAAGTAAGTCGACCGTTTTTCGCACGTCGCAAAATGCGCGCGAGAGTTCGGCGCGAAAGGAGAGAGAAATACAAATTCAATCCAAAAAGTATTGTCGGACTTCCCACTGTGCTACGACCCTTCGTTTAGAGCGAAAAGGTTTCGACACGCTTTGCGTGTCTCGTCCTCGTATTAAGTCCCGGCGTCGTTCACCAGTCAGTTCTGAGTCCGACGTGGAGGGCCTCAGTCGTGTGGCTCTTTCTCTGTGTTCATCTTCACTCCGTACGCGGTAGTGGAAACCCTTGGATTCGTAGCGCTCAAAGCGCTGGCACTCGGTGCATAGAGTGCGAGGCCAGTGGGGTTCTACTGCCGTCCACGGGATGACGATCAACTCGTTAAATGGCAACAATATCGAGTAAGGTGGAAAGTGTGTATCGATAATGACAAACCCAGCCTCTACGAACCCTGAACAACGATTTTCCGGAGGGAAGTAATATCGTCCGCCGATCCTTGCGACAACTTCTCGTACGTCCCACTCGCATACACGTGTCCTTTCCTCGTAGTAAGGAAAATGTCGCGTTGATACGGGAGATACGGAAGGCTGACGCCCGATCGAAGGGCGTTTGTCAGTCCACATGTCAATCAATTGCAAAAATCCCGAGACGTCATCAAGGAAAAACACTCGCACAACCACCAATCAATTCTTTTCGACGCGCGCGCGCGCGCGCGCGCGCGCGCGCGCGAGAGAGAGAGAGAGAGAGAGAGAGAGAGAGAGA